TCAAAGTGAGCCAGCCACTAGAAGGGGCCGCGACATGGCTATATTTCAGCGATAGGGTTTTTTTTATTACATTCCAGCACAGATTCTATAACCTTCAACAGCACCTTTTCTATGGGGGTGTCCACACATGAAAGTGACTACAGAAAAAGCCAGGGTGTACGTGTAAAGCAGATGAATCATTCCTGATTCATTCCCTGTGTAGATGCTCTTATGCCAGAACATTCCCAAATAACTGAATCGGCTTGCAAAGCAGGCGTCCTTTTTCTGGAGCGAGCGTGCCCACACATGCAGGGAAGCAGGAAAAACTCCCCAAGTAGACAAGCTCTGTTGCGGAGAAGGGAACTCACGTAGGGCGCGGGGGTGTCAGATGCAGAGGAAGAACTGAGGATCCTGCCCCAGAGACAGGACGTAGGGAAGGAGTAAAATGTTGCTTGACTTTTCCGAGCTGAGTTCCCTGTAGTGGCCAGGACAGGACCTGCACATCTCTGAGGCCGGCGCTGACGGTTCTTTTCTTTTAAACAGCCACGGGATCCTTTGCTAGGCCTAACTCCACTGCCCTGACTCAGGTCCCAGATGTCCCGACAGAAGAGCAGAAGACAGCACCCCCTACTTGCCACCCTCCGGCTGCCAATGCAAGTAAGGGCCGTTACAGGTTGGGGCAGATCTTCCCGCTGGCTTGAGCGGCCGAGCTGTGTGCTGGCGACCGAGGGAAAGGCTTGGTCTAGCCACGCCTTGGGGGGTGGAGGGGTCTGAGCTGTCGCTGGCCCACCAGCCTTGTCCCCTGCTCCTTCCTCTCCCCCCAGCTCGGGGAGAGCTGGCAGCGAGCGTTTGCACCCCCAGCCAGCCAGACCTTCTGCGGGAGCCCCTCCCCCCAGATCAGCTGGGCCCTCAATTCAGAGAACTCGTCTCTTGCCTCCTGTGTGCAAGAGGGGTCTCTAACTGGGGTCTCCAGGGATTCGCTGCACCTGGTGAAGGGCCATGGACCAGGGCTCACGTGGAACATCCAGTTTGCCGTTCTGGCCCATCTTTGGGGAGCCGGAAGGATGTGCTGGTCCAAGGACCGGTCCGGGAGTACCCACAGTCCTCCCCCACTGCCATGGCCGGGATAGACTGTGTGATGTCAATGGAGTTTCACATGAACATGAAGAACATGGCATCACCCAGGGTGGTGTGTTTGCCCCACACTTTGTACAGTGTGAGCCAAGGGAGGAGGCTGCTTTGCTGCTTCTGTTTATACTGCTCCTGTGCCTGTCTGGCTTTTGTATTGGAAGTGATGGGCGTTGGCTTGATCCTGGTATTCCACGTATTTGCTTCTGAGAGATATGAACAAGCCTTGCCCATCTATTGTGGAAGTTTTTCTTCACTCAGCGCACAGTCAACCTGTGGAACTCCTTGCCAGAGGATGTGGTGAAGACCAGGACTTGAACAGGGTTCAAAAAAAGAGCTAGATACATTCATGGAGGACAGGTCCACCAATAGCTATTCGCCAGGATGGGTAGGAATGGTGTCCCCAGCCTCTGTTTGCCAGAGGCTGGGAATGGGTGACAGGAGAGGAATCACCTGGCATTGGCCATTATCAGCAGACAGGACACTGGGCTAGATAGACCTTTGGTCTGACCTAGTCTGGCTGTTCTTACGGTGGCTGGTCAAGTGAACGGGAGCAGCTGACGGACAATGGACTTTGGGTGACACACCCTGTGAATCGAGGGCAGAATGGGCTTGTGGAGTAGATATGGGTATGTCTACGCTACCCCCCTAGTTCGAACTAGGGGGGTAATGTATGCATACCGAACTTGCTAATGAAGCCCGGGATTTGAATTTCCCGGGCTTCATTAGCATAAAGCCGGCTCCGCCATTTTTAAAAGCCGGCTTGTTCGAACCCCGTGCCGCGCGGCTACACGCGGCACGGGCTAGATAGTTCGAACTATGTAGCCATTCCGATCTATCTGTACGCCTCCTGGCATGGGCCAGCTGCAGGCATCTCATTGCAGTGTAGACGTGCCCTGAGTCTCTCTGCGCCTCAGTTCCCCACCTGTACAATGATCTTGTCTATTTAGATTTGGAGCCATCTCTTTCTCGTCCTGTAGGTCTGTACAGCTCCTAGCACAAGGGCCTCTGATCTTGGCAGGGTCCCGAGATGCTACTGGAACAGGAATTGTTGGTCACGAGGGTTCCCTGTATGGTGGGTGCTTGTGCAGCTGCTCAGGAGATTCCAGTGCAACCCAGTGGGTTCGCAGAGCACCCATTGCTAGGATTTGTGTGCGTACCGGTGGTGCACATCTGCACCGGCCTCGGTGCATATAAAATTTATTCCGCACGTGGATGGAAAAGATTAGCAGGAACATTGTTGGGACGCTAATCCTTTGCTCTGTTCCTAGCCGGTGGTCACCTCTTCCTGTCGCTGGGCCTGACCACGCACCTGAACCTCAGTGAGCCCAGCCTCCACGAGCCGGTATAACCGAGCGTGTCCGCGCCGCCCACCTAGGGCTTTGCCGCTACCCGCAAAGATTGAGAAGCTGGGGCTGGAGAGCCACCGGCAGGGAAAGGAGGCTGCTTGTGGTCCAGGGGAGGAGTCAGGGTTCCTGGGGGCCTGAGCCATTGCAAGTGGGGAGGGCCCATGCCCCACCTCTTCCACCTTTGGTCCCACCCCCATTCTCCTGTAGCCACGCCCACAGCCCCACCTCTCTCTGCCCCCACCCTTGTTCCACCCAGGGTCCCTCCACTGCAGCCCCTTCTGCTCCCCTTCGCCCAAGACCACAGAAGCACAGGAGGGAGGGAGGGCTCCTCCAGTGGGGGTCTGGGTGCTGGCGCTTCCCCCCACGTGTCTGTGGGAGACTCAGGTCGGGCACTGGGACTTCTCCCCCCCAGGTCTCCTGCTGGAGAGAGGGTTGGGCACAGGGGCGTCACCTGAGGATGGGTGGGGATGCTGAGGGTCCTCTTCCTGGGAGGGGTCAGAGCATGCTGGGGGGGTTCCCCGCTGCCCCCTGGCTTCTTCCAGGGACAGGGTTGGGGTCCGGCTCTGGATCAGTGTAGAAGGCCCCCCAGCGGCACTGGTTTAACACCAGCCTCACGCGGTGTGGGTTTCAGCCCGGTGCTTTTCCCCGCAGCTCGACCAAGTGCTGAAAATGAAGTTCCCCTGCGGATTCACCGTCCAATGGAAAGGAGAGGCAGAAGCATGAGGACCGATTCTGCTGGCCCCCCGGAAACGGGCCGCTTGGGGGCCACTGTGAGCGGGATGAGGGCCGCATGACGAGCGGGGACCTCGCGGCTGCTGTTCTGTGCTCGCTGACTCCGGAGGGGAAACCCCGCCGGGAGGAGAAATCGCTTTTGTGCATGCAGAAATCTACGCCAGGCTTGCTTTGCCATGGCCCTCCTGGACTCTGCGTCTCAAAGGCCGGTCCCCTTCGGATGCCCTTTGAAGGTCCCCGTGCGGATGGAGAATGTCCGGCCTGTGCATTTCCCTGCTCTGCCCTCTCTTCCGGCATGACAGGAGCAGAGGATGCGAATAGCAAGCTCTCAGGAGTGGGGACTGTCTCTTACTGGGACTGTGCACGCTGTTTCTCAGTCACCACTAGGCTGTGCTGTTGTTTAATCCATACTATTGGGGTGTTGGGGGGGGGGGACAGCAAATGCTTGTGCTGGTGGTTGCTTTATTGCTGGAGGTCCAAGGGCGTGTGGATCCTGCGTGCCCAGTATACATGGAATTGTTTTTTCTATGTCGTATTGATGTTTGGGGCAGTATTGATCCGGGACCCCGAGTAGTGGCAGGGGACCGTTTCCCCATCAGGGACCAGAGAGGCTAAGCTCGAGGACAGGCCCCTGCCCCGCTGCCCGCACCTTCATTCAGTTCTCGGCTGTAAGATCTGGGCAGGTGTTTTCATGCTCCCAACCCGCCCCCGGATGGTTCCTGGTTTGTTTCCAGAACGAGTCTTTATCTGGCAGGTGCTGGGTGGATGGGCCTGGAGACAGAAGTGTTCTGTCCAGGAGGGAGTCGGTGGGAGCTTTCCCACCCCATCCCATCTCCTTCCACTCTGGAATGGAGAGAAAGGTCTTTGCACGGTGCACTGGGTGCAAAGCACCACAGACGGCTTGAGTCAGACTTCAGCAGGCCTAGGGCGGACCCTCCAGAGAAGGGTTGAATTTCATCCCTCTGTCCTTAGCCTCTGTCAAGGCTGTTCCCCACTCTGGCATGGCAAATGCAGAAGTGGGGGCCCACAAGAGCACCCCAAAAACTTCTCTACAGGCTTTGGTACAAAAACATCCCACCAAATCCTAATACCCGGATTTTGGGAGATCCGCTGGCACCACCCAAGTAATTCCAAGAATACCAGGGAAGAGGTCACTTGGGAAACCTCTTCACTGCCCCAATCTCCATTTTGCTTGGAGTTGAGAAAAACCAGAGGGAATTCGCAGACAACAATGGACTCTGCCTTTATAGCGAGGCACTGAGTCAAAGGACACAACAAGCAACCAATTCCGGTTAATTAGAAAAAAGAAACAAACGTTTATTATCAAAACAAAACAATCGTTGCAAGCATAGTAAAGGGTTTTCTCTTGAAATAACCACATCTTAACAGCATCTGTTATTTCGAAATAGCGCCATAATGCGATTATGCAAATGAAGTGTGGAATATTTAAATCCCGGCTTCATTTGCAATTTCGAATCTCTTCATTTGCATCCCTCTCTCGAAAGAGGGTGCACGTGTAGACATACCCTTACAAAGAAAGACCAAACACTTAACCAGCTCAGACATAGTTCCAAATTCCCAAACCTGGAAAACAACAAAACCTGATGGACTAGCTAAACTTTCTCCTACTTACACATTGTAAGAAGTCCGTTCTTGGAGAGAGGAGTGTCTTCCATCTCCCTTAATACCTGGAAGAAACTGCTCTGCTTTTCAGACAAAGAAGGGAAAGATAAAGAAACTTTGTCCTAGTTTGAAATTCCTACCTGCATTTTTATTGGCTGACCAGATACCTGGCTAGGGACAGAGTTAACCCCTTAGTCACCAGGTGCTGATCAGCACTCTGATTATGACAGCCTCTCTGTCCTCTTCCTGGAACCTGTCCTTGCAAAGATCAAGAGAGGGGAAATGAACAAAAGAAACATCTCAAACTTGTTCCTCCTTGGCAGCCAATACTGAGCCATCCTGGCGGGGCCGGGGAGTGCCACTCCAGCTATGTGCTTGCCGTTAGCAGCAACGCCTGTACCATAAACCTTATGCCTGCTTCATTTAACTAGCAAATGTTTGTCCTTGATGAGAGCTACTCAGTCCAGCCATGCCCAGAGCTGGCTGTCAGATGAGCCCCACAGCCCACCCTTCACTCACACCCCTGCTCAGCCATTTTTCCTCTTTTTTTACCCGAACTTTGCATTTTTCCTTGCAGTTGCTGCCTGAGAGCTGCCGCCCCTCTGCTTAGCAGCACAAGCTGCAGTGAGCACATCACTGCGGCTGTGTCAATATGGGGAAAGTTTGGCGATGGAAGTGCTGTCTGCATGCAAAAGTGGCCAAAAGGAAAATCGGTCTAGCTGGTTTTTATGCTTCCCATTGTCGACATTTCATGACCACATGGCTAGCACCCTGTCGATCGACAGAGAAAAGCATTGTGGGTAAGTATCCCACAGTGCAGTGTGGTGGGATGACAGAGCTGATCCCTGTGCTTCTTGGGATGCCCTCGTAGCTCTGGAGGCTCTCGGTGCTGAAGAACGTCAAAGCAGCAGCCGTCTCTCCAGCCTCCCCCTGCAGCAGCAGCCTCGCTGCAGCTGTGTTCCTAGCAGGGCAGAACAAGAGTATTCCAGTGATTTTCTCTTTCTTTGTTCCCCAAAAGGAGCAGTTTGCTCAGCTGTCAGACACTTCCCGGAGCTTTGAAAGGGGAGGGGCACCTGCCTTCAGGGCAGCAGAGATCACAAAACACTGAGCAGAGCCATTGGGGCAGGCATGGTGGGATCCTGGTGGAAGCCAGTTCTCTGAACAAAACAAACAGCAAGAGTCCACACTGGCTCTTTGTGGACAATAATGGGTGGGGGATAGACAAAAGTCTGTCACAGAGGTAGAAGTTTTTTGTCACCCAAACTGGGTGTTTCTCCTGACAAAAGTCACATTAAAGTGTAAATGTGCCATGTTTTGTCACCAAAAGACGGTTTTTGGTGACAAAATGTGCCAGGGTAGACCAGCCCTGAGGTACTCTGCATTGGCGCCCCATTAACTGCAGGGACCATGTTAGTTCTTTGTCCTGTTACAACCCTCCTTGATACTGGCCCTGGCTCCTGGGACTCTGACGGAAGTGATGGAAACCCAGTTCTATAGGACCCTTAGCTGGATTTTTCCAGTCCCAGCTGAGCAGTTTGTCCTACTCCCCGAGGCAAACGAAACTAGTAATTCATTAATGGGCGAACCAGCCAGAGACAATCAAGCGGAAACAATGACTAATTACAACTTTTTTTAATACACTCCTATTGTTTTTAAAGCTCCAGCAAAGCAGAATTTGGGGGGATTTCAAGTCCAAATCAAATAATAAATTGTATTTGTTATCGAACCCCTTGGCTAGAGCCATGTTCAGAGTGGAGATAAGGCCAACAGTGTTGACTGTGAGTGTAATTGACCCCTGAAACAATTTCCCACGCATGGCAGTGGATTCTACATCACTGGCAGTTTTGAAATCACAGCGGGATATTTCTGGGAAAACGCCTCTCCAGAAGTTATCCGGGGGACATTCTCTGGCTGGCGTTAAGCAGGTCAGACTAGCTGATCACAAAGGTCCCACTGTTGGCTTTGGAATCTAGAAATGGTCAGTTACGCTCAGGCAGAATGACGGGGCCTCAAAGAGGACAGAAATGACCCCAAAAATATACATTGCACAGGGGCGCAGGCCTAGAACTGTTGACTAGTTTCTTGATCTCAAAGAATCCCAAACTAGGGAATGACACAGCGACCATTTTCACATAATTTGTGTGGGTAAATCTCTCTAACCAGTTAATCATTGTATTTGTTATGTTCTTTGCCATTAACCACAAGCAGGTTTGGACTTATCTCCCTTCATGGGTCTCTACTCCCACTCAACTACTGTTCTTTGTTATCTTTATTAGTTGGGTTAATACATTTAACACCCCCCCCCCACCATTCTGTGCAAAAGGGGGTGTGATCGGACCCCCTGCCACTGTAGGAATGGAGTGCTCAGGGATGCATGCTTGTATGCCTCCACTGATACGCTGAACTTCCAGTGCTGAGCTGAAGAATTCACCTTTTTCTTTTGCGGAGGGAGGGGAACCCCAACAAGCAGCTATCCTAACTTGCAGACTGATTGGGCTAGAATAAAAACTCACCGAGGTCTTGACCAGATCCCGATCCCAGAAGCATGAATGTTATCTATAAGTAGGGATTTACAAGACTGGAACTTAGAGGTCTATACAATCATGACTGATGTGGAGAAAGTAAATAGGGAAAAGTTACTAGTTCC